CTTTTTAACTTCCTTGTTCTAATTTTAGCTAATTTTATGTTAATTTTTAGTTTTTTTTCTGCTGTTTCAGCTATAATTCTGCTTCTTTCTGATATTCTGCGGTTTTCTACTTTTTGTGCTTCTTTCTGCTAATTTGAGCTATTTATGCTTCATACTCTACAGTTGCTTTCTGCTATATTCAGCGTTTGATGCATTTTTAGCTAATGTCCAGCCGTTATTAGCTAAAGTCAGCATTTTAAAGCTAAATACACATTTTTAAAAACTACTACAACTTATTTCTGCTCATTTCAGCAAACTTGTGCTCCTTATGCTTCCTCCAGCTAATTAAAGAATGTTCAGCTACATTTTAGCTGTTTTACTGCAAATTTAGGTTATTTTAGCTATTTTACAACAATTTTTCCCTTTTTTGTACTTTTATTTATTTATTTATTTATTTATTTTTGCTAATTTGAATTTTTTCAACACTTTCACCATCTGTGTGCTAATTTCAGCTTGTGTCTGCTACTTTTAGCTTATTTACCTAATTTCCCTCTGGGATCAATAAAGTATTTTTGAATTGAATTTTTTTACTTTGTAGTTTTTTCTTCTATTTTAGCTCTAATTCTGCTCCTGTCKGCTATTCTTCTGCTAATTTCTGATTTTTWTGTGCYTTTTTTCAGCTTTTCAAATTAGCACATTGATTTTCAGCTCTGTTTCAGCAGCTCTCAGCTGAAGTTTTCAGCAAGATCCARATGTTGATGAGTGAATTATTACTCCACGAAGTAAAATAATTCACGTCAGAAGGAGGTTGTTCTGTTCAAACTGTCTTTAAACCATGTCAGAGTGCATCTTTCTGAGTCTGACTCGTGTTTTCTGAGGTGAGGTTGAACATGTGGCTAACAGCCGCCTGCTGTGGACAGATTGATATGTTCTGAAAGGTTAAACTCAGCTCAGACTCTGTGACATCATCACAGATAAATGATCATCCTCTCAGGCTGAGGCTGTCACTTTGCTCTGGCTTTGATGAGCAGAGCTGTGAAACAGTTTTCATCAGGAGGAGGAGGTGATGACAGCTCAGCAGACGGAGGTCTGACTGCAGAGCAGGGTCACTCAGACTGGAACGTGTGGTTACGTTTGATGATTTTCTTATTTTTTATGAACCAACAGGTCRCAGATTTGACTCGTTCAGTTTAACAAACTGGGTTTATTTTCTGTCAAAATGAAGAGGTTTTAGTTTTTAATAAGGATCTTCATCWCGTTCCTGTCAGCTGTGGAGATATTTCTGTTTTTGCTTCATGAAACAGCTCACCWGTGCTGTAACACTTCTTCTGCTGTAATTATTTTGTCTCATGGTCTTGCAGGTCTTTTGACCCTCGTGTTCCCGCTGGATTTCGAAGCTCACAGAGAGTACTACCTGTCTGTGGAGGGAAGTCGTGGCAGGTCGTCCCTCACCGACGTCACGACGGTCTTCATCAACGTCACCGACGTGAACGACAACCCGCCCGTGTTTCAGCAGAGCGTCTACAGCGCCGAGATCTCAGAGGATCTGACGCCGGGGAGCCTGGTGATGACGGTAAGACCCGAGAATATAAAATCTACGCAAACTTATGAATAAATGAAAATGATTTAACACAGTTGTTTATACTTTTAGCAGCTCTTTTTATTCCACAGCTGACCTGC